CTCCCAGTAATTACTGAGGGAAAGAGCCTGTCACTCTGGCCAGCCTTAGGGGCGGATGCTGCTGCATGCATTAATTTCCTTCTGTCAGATAGCAGTATTTAAGGCAAGCCAAGTCCTTTGGGCTGCTTTTTTCTTTATTTGGAAAGAGGGTTCTGGAGCCCTAAGGCTGCAAGTGGGGCCGACTGTGGGGCATGAGTCATGCATCTGACTGCGGCTGACCTTGGCTGGGGACAAAGCGGGGTCTGTGTGGAGAGATACCCCAGGTTATGCTGCTAATGGGAAGGAAGGGGAGGCTGGGGGCTGGGGCCTCCTTTGAGTCCACCAGAAAGAAGACATTGTCTTGCCCGGCACATGGAGAAGGGCGGGGATGGGAGAACACTTCGGTTTCCCTTCTTTTTGGGAACATGCTTCGGACTCTGCAGCCTGCAAAGACGCAAGTGCAGACTCCTGTTGAGCCAGGATGGGGGTGGGGTTTGTCCGAATGACTGTGTTGGTGTGTCCTGGGGTGGGGGACACTCAGAGGAGGGGTACCCGCTCCACTTACACCTCATGTCCACCCTCATGCCCCGACAGACATCACGTTGCCCGGGCAGCCTCAGCTTCTGAGTGCAGGAGCCCTGCTACTCTGCTGGGGCACATTTTGCAGAAGGCAGGACCTTGCCCATTGATGACAGAGAGTATTAACAACTTGGTGGTGTTTCCAGTTGAAAAGGTGTTTCTCATATGCTGTGTATCAGTTATTTATCTTCTAATCTGTAACACAAACCTGAAAGCTCTCAGTGGATTACTGTTCTGAACACGAGAAGGTGGGCATGAATACAACACGGGCCAGAGGCATTTCAACAAAAGTGCTCACACACGTTTGGTTGACACTGAGCTGCACCGATGATTTAAACATTGCCAACAAAAGCAGGAGGTTCGTTTTGCCATCAGATGAGCCAAGTTTGTAAATGTTGGTAAGACTGTGCTGGTGGGTGTGTGGGCTGAATCTGTCCTCACTCTCTGGAGGGTCGCACGGGGTTGTGTACCAGAGCCTCCCACCATTAAGCACCCTTCCGCCAAACACAGGCCCGTGGGAGCTCCACAGGGACAGGTGGGCGGCCATGTACCAGGCCGCTCTGCTGCGGGCGCCCATCAGGGTTGGGACGGGTGAGTCCAGCAGGTATGCTCATTCAGACCTCAGGGCTGTTTGGCGGCAAATATTTGATGTACATATTTGGAAGGTGGTCCATGGCATGATATTAAAGGAAAAAGTGAACTGTATATTGGGATATATAGTGTAATCCTACTTTGGTGAAAAATATGTATCTCCATCCATATCTATTCCTGTTCCATATTCATTGATCTTCAGAGAAAAAATCTGGGAGGATATACCCTATAATGTTAATTCTGGTTTTCATGTTCTGACATCTTTATGTATTTTTAAAATTTAGGTTTTTAAAAAATAGCTTTATTGGGGCGCCTGGGTGGCTCAGATGGTTAAGCGTCTGCCTTCGGCTCAGGTCATGATCCCAGGGTCCTGGGATCGAGTTCCGCATCGGGCTCCCTGCTAGGCGGGGAGTCTGCTTCTCTCTCTGCCTCTGCCTCTCTCTCTCTCTCTCTCTCTCTCTCTGACTCTTATGAATAAATAAATAAAACATTTAAAAATAAATAAATAAAAAATAGCTTTATTGAGATATAATTCACATACCACATAATTAACTTATTTAACATGTATAATTCTGTGACTTTCAGTGTATTTGGAGTTGTAGCCATCAGTTTTGGAATATTTTCATGTCCTTTCACTACCCCTGTTTCTTGCGTCACCGGCCCACTTTCTGTCTCTATAGATTTGTCTCTGGGGCATTTCGTGAACATGGAGTCACACAGTATTTGGCCTTTTGTGGCTTCTCTCCCTGAGCATCATGATTTCAGGGTTCATCCGTGGGTAGCAGGTGTCCGAGCTTCACTGCTCTCTCCGTGGCCAGTGACGTTCCCCTGTGTGGACAGACCACACTTTCGTTCATCCGTTCCTCTGCCGATGGACATTTGGGTTGTTTCCAAAGCGGCTGCCCCAGCGGGCTCCAACTTCTCCACATCTCACACTTGGTGTTATTATTTCTAGTTAAAAGTTATAGGAGACATTCTTATCCGTGAATGTTCCTTTTTTAAAGCAAACAATTGAGATCATAAAGGAGTAAAGAAGCGCAGGGAAATTCTAAGAACATGCGCGTGAGTCTATGAACCAGTGTACTGTGGGAAGCAGTGTCTTTGTGGGGTACCCTGCTGAGTCTGGGAAGGATGAGCTATAGTCAGCGCAGAGCTGGTGCCTGCAGACGCAGCCCTCGAAGTCAGGCCCATGCTCTGTCCGAGACTCCGCCAGCCCCTTAGGGCACATGCTTGCCGCCAAGGCTGGGTGTCCTGGTGCTGCGAGTCACATGGAGTGTGGCTTCCTCAGTCTGGCTCTCTCTTCTGGGCACAGGCGCCACATTCGTGTTTCTGTGGCTTCAGAGGGGAAACCTTGCCCCCAGTGGCATGCCCGAGGGTATGGGAGGGGAATCCGTGCGCTGCCCGTGTGTAACACGCGATTAATCTGGAGACTGTGATGACCTCGAGGCTTGTGTTAGTCGTGTGGCTGTGGAATTAAAGGGTTCTGCTTCATGGCCCATCACCCCAGAGAGGGTTCTCTGGGGTGGGGCCCGGGGAGCCGTGTTTTCTAAAAACCTGTCCCGGTAGTTCTGATTTGCAGCCTGAGTGAATTGGGGTTGGTCCCATGTGGAGAGTAGACGACCAGAGTCGCATGTACCAGGACAGGGGGTCCCAGGCGGTGGGTAGGACTGTTGGTGAGACGAGAGAGCACAGTCCGGATTCACATGTGGCTTTCCCTAGAGGTACCTGCCACTGGGCAAATAGGAACATGTGAGGCCTGGGAGGCGGTTGTGATGTGTGTGTGACGGCTTGGGGGCATGGCGCGCTCTCCACCCTCTGACCTTCAGAACAACAGGGTCCCCCCGCTCTAGTCTTGTTCACTGAGTGAGCAAAACGCGCTCAGCCTCTCGGGTATCTCTAAGGGCAGCTCCCGAGTTGAGCACACTCTGCTTTGCTGTGAGGCAGATCTCTGGTGGCTAGAATGCCTTCCCCTTGGCTCTTGCTTTCTTGGTGGTTGTCTGTCTCCCCGTGGCCTGGTCCTTCGAGACCCCAGGCCCCTGCCTGCCTCAGGTGCTTCTGGATTATTCCCTCTGGCACCCCAAAACCCTTGGCCCTGCTGGGACCACCAGCTTCCACCTCAGGTCCTCATCTTCCCACGCGGCAGATCCACTCTGCACACTCCAGGCCACTGCAGTGCCGTGTCTGCGAAGAAGGCAGTTCCCACCAACGTGGCTCCTCTGTGGCAGTTCACGTCTTCCCTGTCCCCACCCGCCTGGGCTGGCTCTCAGCTGCTGGCTGGAGGAGACAGGATGATCCCAGCACCTCTGTGCCCCCGCCTGTCTGCAGGTCGGCCTGCACTGGCTACATACCATGGATACGTTGCTGCTTGAGGGGGAGGCCTTTTCCATATTTCAAAGGCCTGACCATCCTCCTCAGCCACTGCCTGGTCTGGGCTGCACCCAGCCCCGAATCTGGCTCCCTCTCCCTGCCTGGCCACACGAGCCTGGGGTGGGACTCAGGCAGCCTGTAGAACGGGCAGGTGCCTGCCCACACCCTTGCTCCCAGGGGCTGGTGCATCTCCAGCCTGGTGTGCTGGCATGGAGCTCAGCACCTGTCCTGCATCTGGTTTCCTCATGGGGTGGGGGGGCGTCTCTTTCTTGCCCTGGGAGTGGTCCGTTTGCTCCATCTTCCCAGGGCTCTCACTGGGCCATGCTGAGCTGATCCCGAGCTACGGAGATGAAATGTGTCTGACTGACACATCACGTGCCTGTGTCTAAGGAGAGTTTACTATTTGCTGATGGGGCAGTGGTGGGAAGCAGACCCATGGGGTGACCCGTCATGCCACCAAAAACACTATTCTAGGGAGCTGTGGCATTGGTCAGACGGAGAGGCACCGTCATCTTCTGGCCACTGAGAAAGAACAGAGCTAATTAAAGTATGGACTGTCCTGACACTGTGGCGTGCATTCTGATTTCAGAGGTGCTCAGACGTGGTGGGGAGGGTCATCTCAGAATGGATACAATATGGGCTGGAGCTGGGAGCCGCCCCGCCCTCCTCCCTCTGTTCTGGGGACGCATCCAGGTCCCTCGCGGTGAGGTTCTGCTGCAGGACCCACACTGTCCACCTTCTGCACCGTTACTCCAGCTTGAGCAGGAGTGCACGTTCCTCCTCTTCTAAGCGACACAACACCCCCCGTTCGCTTTCCTGACTGATCGCGTTTCCTACTTGGGACCTCGGCTGTAGGTGTGTGCGCTGCAGTGAGCTGCTGACCCTCTTGGACCCGGTGAAGACTGTCGGGTGCCCCGCCGTTTCCAGCGCAGGTCCGCTGGCTGCAGACCACGTGTGTGGACTCGTCCCGGCCCAGCCGAGCAGTTGGGGGGCTGTTTCATGACCTCGACTGGGTTTGCAGTTCAAGCTGGGCCTCTGTGCGCAGGGACTCATGTGCGGGGTCCGTGTGGAGGGTCAGTCAGTGGGCAGGGGTCCTCTCCCCAGTGACAGGTGTGATTTCACCCTGACTTCTGGGGAAAGAGAGCATGGTCTGAAGCCGGCACGCTGGGTTTGACTGACACGCGTGAAGTGAGGCTTGCCGACCACTGCCCCGCACATTCCACGTGTGCCCGCGGTCCTGGAGCTTGGGTCCAGCCCAGACACACACAGCAGACGTCATTCTCACTGTGGGCCGCTCCCTCGGGGTGACGGGCCTTGGGGCCGATGGCGGGGACCGTGCTGGTAGCCCCACGAGCGAACCCCAGTTACACATCTCACGCGTGAAACACGATGTGGCATGTCGGTGATCCGTGTGAGAGCGTGATTCCGTGCGTGTGCCCGTGCTGCCCGGCTCACCTGACAGAGCCCTTGTGCTTGCTTCCCAGCCCCTTCTACGGAGAAGACTTCTACTGCGAGATCCCTCGGAGCTTTCGGCACCTGTCTTTTTACATCTTTGATAGAGACGTTTTCCGGAGGGACTCCATCATAGGTAGGTACTGAAATGGGTGTTTTCTCCATTTTCTCTGCCTCTGTTGGGCGGGGCCCCGTTCTCTCGGGTGTGCGGCATCTCCCCCGGGCTCTCTGCTCTGAGCCAGCGGTGCCTGCCAGCATTCTTGGCCGGGCTTTTTTGGCTTGTGCTGAGCAGCCCTGGGAGGTGGCAGTGGGTACCTGGCTGGCCTGGTGGTGGCGTCTCCGGTGCCCTGGACGGGTCTCCCTTGTCCCCCGTGCCCTGGACCGGCCCCCCGAGTTCCCTGTGGCAGGGATGAGCTGCCTGAGTGGCCCCCCCAACCCTGTCAACGTGTAGAGGAGCTTCACACCATGAGCTCACGTGGGAGAATGGCTTCAGAGCTGTCCTTCAAAGTGAGGGTACAGTGACCACCAAGTGTGTCCCCAAATCCCCAGACTGCACCTGACCTGAGTTTGACAGCTCTCCATGGGGATCGGGATGGTATTGGGGGTGCTCTCAGAGGCATTGGGGCCTCTCAGAAGTATTGGGGTGCTTTCAGACGCCCTAGCATTTCAGTGGAGCCCTCCTGGAGAGGAAGGAGAGGTGTGGAACAGCAGAGCCTACTTGAATCAAGAGGGTCCTTGTGTGTGGGCCCCACTGCGCACCCACGCAGACTGCCACCTGCATGGGGCTCCTATAACACACTCCCAACACCAGAAGGCTTTTAAACATGTCTCCGTTTTCTGACATGGGACTAGTCCTGCAGCGATGAGCTCCTGCTCGGCCTCTCTCCTCTGCTGCTGAGGAGTGTGTTACACCCCAGGTACCTAGCCCCCATCCATGCTGGTGGACCCACATCCTCAGGGGCTGAACCTGGAACTCCATAGTTTTGTGGAGTTCCTCAGGTGATTCTTAGAGTTAGAAGGAAACATGTATTGAATGCATTTAACAGGTGCAGCGGCTTGTTCTGGGTGCTGTACGAATATGACTCCTTTAACCTTCACGGTCCTGTGCTGCAGGTGCATCTTCAGCTGAGGGAACTGGTACAGACAAGCCAGATGGCTGCTAGGTGTTAGCCCAGCATTCACACCTGCAGCTACGGTCTCAAGTCTTCCCCTCACTTTAGACTATGCATTGTAGACTTCACTTAGAGGCAGTCATTTGTTGAATGTGGAGGCTCTTGGGGAGAGGGAGAAGTCCAGGATGACTCCTGGTTATGGGTTTGCACCACCAGGTGGGTGATGGGTGCTGGGACATACACAGCGCTGGAAAATGGTGTGTGTGGTCCTGGTGGAGGGTGAGGTGGGGAGATGGGGATGAGGTGGTGAAGAATGAGTTACTCATCCTAGGATGAGATACCATCTCCTGCCATGAGCAGAAACCCATCATCACCATGTACCACCCTCCACCCATCATGCACAACCAGCCATCCATGCTCCTCCACCATCAGACCACCACCATCCACCCTCCTCCACCATCAGACCACCACCATCCACCCTCCTCCACCATCAGACCACCACCATCCACCCTCCTCCACCATCACCACTCACCATCCACCCTCCACCACCATCAGACTACCACCATCCACCCTCCTCCACCATCAGACTACCACCATCCACCCTCCTCCATCAGACCACCACCATTCACCCTCCTCCACCATCAAACCACCACCATCTACCCTCCTCCACCATTATCACTCACCATCCACCCTCCTCCACCATCAGACTACCATCCTCCCTCCACCACCATCACTACCCACTGTCCACCATCCACCCATCATGCACCACCAGCCGTCCACCCTCCTCCACCATCTGACCACCACCATCCACCCTCCTCTACCCTCAGACCACCACATCTACCCTCCTCCACCATCTGACCACCACCATCCACCCTCCTCCACCATCAGACTACCACCATCCACCCTCCTCCTCCATCAGACCTCAGACCACCACATCTACCCTCCTCCACCATCTGACCACCACCATCCACCCTCCTCTACCCTCAGACCACCACATCTACCCTCCTCCACCATCAGACCACCACCATCCACCCTCCTCTACCATCAGACCACCACCATCCACCCTCCTCCACCATCACCACCTACTCTCCACCATTACCTACCATCCATCATCCTTCATATGTTCTCCACATCCCCCACCCATCATGTAACATTTACCGTTCTCCAGCCCCCATCCTGCCCTTCATCCACCATTTCTGTTCTACCACCCACTGTCTTCCACCACTGTCATCCAACTACTTCCAGCCCCAGATATGTCCCACCACCCAAAATCTGCTTGGTGTATACCCATAAAGCTGCACTCATTCAGGACTCCCCGTCCCCATTTATATCTGTCCTAGCCCTGGGCATATATTTCTCGTTTTTTGGAATGGAACCATGTGACTGGGTTTTCTTCCACCTGAAGAGGGTAGCTCTGCATGGCGCAGGACAACACGATGACAGATGCCAGCCTCAGGCCGGGGAGGCCCTTCTTCTGCAAAGCCTGTTGGTCGGAAGGGAGCATTCTTCCTGTTGCACCAAAAGTTCCTTTTACCTTGTGCCTCCTGTGGTGGGAGCCACCTTGAGCATGCTGCCCCTCCCTGCATTCCTAGTCCAGCAAAGATGGGTGGTGCTGCTGTTGACCCATTCATCCCTGGGTGGAGGTTTGGGCTGTTGCCAGTTTTTAGTGATTGTGAATAAAGCTGCCAGGAATATTCTTCTGCATCTGTATATTGACACATGTTTTCATTTCTCTTAGAAGAGACCTGAGAGGCAGATTGCTGGGGTGTATTGAAAGAGGGCAGAATTTGCCACTCCAAAATATGCACTTTGGCATAAGGTTTAATTTGAGCTGAAGGCAGTTGAGAATAAGCAGACACAAGAAAAGATCTCCAGCCTGCCCGAAAAGCAGGACATGAATTTGTGCAGAAGTTAATCACCAAGACAACTCTAGAGCCCTGTTAGGCTGGAGGTGACACTGGAGGGGTCTACATGACCCACCTTTGTCTGCCACTGGCCCCTTCCTGCAGTTTGTGCCCTGGAAGCCCAGTGGCCTTTCCTCGGTCTGTCTCTTCTCTGAAAATTTGTTGTTGTTTTAGGTTAAGATGCTACAGAAGTGCAAGTTCTTGCTCACCGCTGAGTTTCTCCCCGGGTATATTTGAGCCGTGTTAATAAACTTCCCTCTGTTGTTCTCTTATTAATCCTTCTTCTGTTGCAGAGCCTGAGAGAACCTAGAAGAGTGGGAGAAAAAAGGTTTTCCCTCGCCTATTGTGTGTGTTTACCTCTGTTAGAGACTGCCAAGCCCTTCTCCCATATGACTGCGCCATCTTGAGTTTTCCCAGCCGCGTGAGAGTCCCAGGTGCCACACAGACTCTTCAGCGCTCAGAATTGTCAGTTTTTATTTTTAACCCATTTATTCCATCCTGATATGTGTGTAGTAGTATCTCATTGTGGTTTTTATTGCATTTTCTGATGAAGAATGAGGCTGGGCATGTTTTCATGTGTTTATTGTCTGTATCTCTTCTTTGGTAAATTGTTCAAATCTTTTGCCCTTTTAATTGGGTTGTTTTATTATCGAGTTTTAAAAGTTTTTTGTGTATTCTTGATACAAGTTCTCCATGAGATACTTGTTTTGCAAATATTTTCTTCGTCTTTGTTCTTTTCCTTTTCTTACCAGTGTCTCTCAAAGCCCAGAAGTCTTTAATTTTGATGAAGTCCAGTTTGTCAGAATTCTTTTACAGTTTGTATTTTTGGTGTCATAACTAAGAAATCTTTGCTTACTCCAGGGTGTGGAGATTTCCTTTTTTTTTTTTTTTTTTTTTAGAAAGCTTATGGTTTTAGCTCCTATGTTTAGATCTATTTCAGGTAAATTGTACATCTGACACACAAAGTTCATTTTTCTCCTTGTAAATGTCCAGTTGTACCAGCATCATTTATTGAAAAACTATCCTTTCTCCATTGAATTACCTTGGTGCCTTCTTGAAAATCACCCAAGTTTATGTGTATGAGCCTATTTCTGGCTTCTCTAGGCTGTTCCATTGATCTGTACCCCTTTCCTTGCTCCAATACCCACGGTCTTGGTGCCTGTGGCCTTAGCCAGTCTCAAGTCGGCGGTGTGATCATGCCAACTCTGTTCTTTTCCAAACTTGTTTTGCTATTCTAGGCCCTTTGAATTGTCACTTATATTTTTTAATCAGCTTCTCAATTTCCAAAACCACTGAGATTGTATAGGTGTATAGATTAATTTGGGGGAGAAGTAACATCTTAACAAAATGGAGTCTTCAGACCCTCCAGTAGGGCACATACTTGGTCTTCCTTAATCTCTCTCATCAGTGTTTGTGATATGTTTTCAGCATACGCATCTTGCATGTATGTGTGTGTGTGTGTGTGTATTTAAATTTGTCCATCTGTATTTTATGTTTTTGATGGAGTAGACGAAGATTTCTTAGGTAGCACACCAGAGGCACAAGCCGTCAAAGCAGCATTTTGTGAATGGTCCTGTTTTTTGTTTTTGTTTTTGTTTTTTTTAATTTCAGTCCTTATTCTCATTGCTTGTATGCACAAATGCAACTGATTTTTATGTGTGGACTTTATATTCTGTGGTCCTGCTGAACACACCTGTTCTAGCTTTTCTTGTAGGTTTTCCTATAGCTTCTGTGAATAAGACTTTATTCCTTCCTTTCCAGTGTATGCGCTCTGTTTCTTTTCCTTGCCTCCAGGCCCTAGCTAGGACCCCAGGTTGAATGGAGTGAGTCATAGGAACAAGCATCTCTTCCACAGGCTTGTCTCAGGAAGCATCTGTCTGTCCCTCATTAGGTCTGACCTTAGCCAGCCTTCTTGCAGGTTTCACCCCAGTCCTCTGTACCTGGTTCCCCACGTCACCTGCCCTCTGTTGTGCTGCTTGCCATATGCTGTCTTCTAAACAGACCCTGAAGGCTTGGGGTTTTTAATGTGTGAAGGCAGCACCACCTCTGTCCAAATGAGACAGTGAGGCCCAGAGTGGTCTAGTGATCTTTTGATGTCTCTCAGATAGATTGGGACACATTTAAGTAGATATTATAGTTCATAGGTCAGGTATTCTCTCCAAACAGCGTTTAGAAACACTATGTGTTTAAAAAGTACACATTTGTATACTAAGTAATGATGTATAAGTTGTGGGATTCATATAAGCCTTAAATATGCAATTCTTCCCTATTTTAGCTAAAGCTCATAAAAACATTGCAATGACTTAACATCTCAAATCTCAAATGTAATCCTCTTATCCAGCCGAACTAATCACAGTCTGAAGATTTATCTTTTTTAGGTGAAATATATTGCTCAATTCAATTCCAATAATTTTTTTTCATGTGGCTTTATTCCCTGGAGACTTAAAAACCACATTCCCACTGAGGGGGATGGCGTTTGCAGGACCTGCCAAGAGAGGAAGGGTAGTCTTCCCTCCTGCTGGGGGTGTGCTGGGGGATGGTGAGAGGTGCTGGGGAGTCCAGGTGTTGGGGGCGGGGAGGACTGAGGCAGGGAAGGAGCAGGGGTCCTGAGGGAGCCAGCCTGCCCTGTAACTTGGTGATGCTGGAGGAAATCCCACATGGCCTGTAATTTGGGCTGCTCTCTGCATTTCTTTGGAGTATCGTCTGCGGACTTTGCCCACTATGTGTCTCTGCACCTGCCTCTCTTGCTCTCCACCCCCTCCCTTTGTGCCCCCTGCCAACTGCGAGCAATAGCTTTAACAGGTCCTGCAGTCTGTGGCTACACAGGATCTGGCTCCAGACGGCTCTTGGAGGTGAGAGCTGAAGCAGTGGGGTCCAGGTGGGCAGTGGCATGGACGCTGGGCGTGCTGATGTGCTGTATCCACTTCAGGGGGGACACAAGTACTGGCCTTGCCGATGAGCCCTGGTGGGGTGACCCAGGGTCTTTCCCAAGGCTGTTTTGTGTCTGGGAAGTGTGAGGTTCCTTCCCTTTGAGAATATGAAGTGATGTAAATGATGGTTCCACTGGCAGGGTGATGGGGGCTGACGGCAGTGATGGTGGGAGTCAGGTGTCCCGACTCCCCAGGCCCCAGCCCTCTGCCCGTGGAATGGCTTTTCTGTACGTGTGTTGCCTTCCAAACCCCATCTCTGCCCTGTGGGTAGGTCTCACGGGGTCTGGAGTCCAGGGCAGGGTCGGCCGGCCGAGTTCTCAGAACGAGGTTGAAAGCCGTCAGGGAGGAAACCTTTTTCTCTACCCACCGAGGTTCTCCGGCAGGGCCTGTAACATTGGAAGAGAGGAACAGTTCCTTAACGCCTGCAGCTTATGTCAGGCAGGAGACGTCTCCCTGACGAGGACCTCAAAAAGCTGGCTGGACTTGGGCAGGGGAGGGGTCCACACCTGGGAAAGCGACCGGACAAGGGGAGAGGCTTTAGGCTTCCCAGGGTGGCAGGCTGTGGGGAGGCAAGCACGTGGGGCTGAGTGGAGTCCGGTTTGTTGGTGCAGGACCATCTTGGGCCCCTGTTTGACTTTACCGGAACACCTGCCGGGAGAGGCTCCACGGCAGCCCTCACTCCTCACAAGTTTGTGTGGGTAGCTCTGGGAGGGCCTCTTTCTGCACCTGCTAGTTCTCATTTGCCGCCAGCTCAAAGTGGCCTATTTTGGGGTGTCCTATGCTGAGCTCCCAAAGACCCAACAGAAGGACAGGCTTTTCTTCTCCTAAAACCTCGTATGGAGAAGCAGAATGGTGGCAGCCCCAGCCAGGTCTCACGAGAGGCCTTCCGGATGCAACATTGCCCGTGTTGATCTTACTGGAGGGAAGACAGCGTGGTGTTAGCTGTGGACCCAATTATCTGTTCTGGAGTCTACTGTTGGAGAAAATTGGCACTGATCGTGGAGAGAGTTCCACTTGTGGTTTTGGGGGATTTCTTCCCTCTTGTGACGCTTTTCCTCTGTCTGTGTTGTAGGGAAGGTGGCCATTCAGAAGGAAGACTTGCCGAAGTATCATAACAGGGACACTTGGTTCCAGCTGCAGCATGTGGATGCCGACTCAGAAGTGCAGGTGAGGCCTCTGTGGGGCGCGTGGGAGGGGAGGGGACTTTGGTCTTAACGGGATGGTGGTAGCAAGTGACCTCCTCTTATAGTGAATATAGGCATGTTAGCCTTGTTTATTCTTTTGGTTATTGTCACAGTTTGTCATGTGTGATTGAAACAGCTTTAAAAGTATAAAATTTGAAAGGACAATAATTGCACATAATTGAAGTAAAGAAAAAAATACGGGCAGACAGAAGTAAAGCTTGGGGCAGAAGCCATGCATGGAGCCTCACACTGTAGGTCCAGTTGCCAGAGGGGCCTGCGTGCATTTTCAGCTCCTGCACATAACAGACAAGGGTTTGGAGTGAAGAGAAGTGACCAGTTACTGAGTTTCCCATCGTCTGAAGCATCCCCAGGGCTCCCCTGGCTCTCCTGGGCCGTGTGTCACCTGGGACTGACCCCCTGTCCAGCAGAAGGGGCTTCCCCCTGGCAGAGGAGACTGTGGGACCCCCGTTCCCACCCTCCCTTTCTCGTGATGGGGGCACCGCCCATGCCAAGCTTCTGGAACAACATCCTTTGGGAGGGCAGCCCTGCTTGTGTGGTTCCAGCTGAGCTCCTCACCCCACGCTGGCATCTGGAGTCCATGATGGGGAACCCTGACCCACAGCACAGTGCCCTGACGTTGCACGAGCATTTTCATCGTGGTCCCGTGAGTTGCCAGGGCGTGGCCAGGGTGTGTGACCCGGCATAGAGTCTGGCAAGCCAGGCTCAGAACGCCTAACCCAGCAAGCCTGCTTCCTCCTCTGTGAATACCAGACAGTGCTTGATGCAGCAGAATCCCCAATGCAGGTGGCCGGTGAGGCCTTCCCCCACCCCTCCTGGCGCACCCACCCCCACGCACCTGCCTAGCTGCTTGCTCTCTGCTTCCTTGTAGACCCTCGGGCTCAGCGGAGCTCTGAGGAGGAGGCAGAGCACGTGGGGTTTCTGGGATCAATCCACAGACTTGGAGAAAGAAGCAGTGGGAGGGAAGGGTTGAGGAGCTGAGCCAAAGAGACATTGTCACGTGCCTCACACTTAATTCTGGCCAAGGGGCCCATGTGTGCTGCAGAAATTAGCAGACACAGCAACTCCTGCAGGATTCGTGTCTGCCCGGAGGTGCAGTGATGATGAGTGCTGGCACCAGGAACGCACGGCCAGCTGCTCCTGCTCAGGCCACTCGGAAACCTGTCTGCAGGAGGAGGGTGGCAGGGGCTGTGTGCACTGTGACAGGAGGCGTTCTTGCCGTTTGTTCTGGTGATTTCCCCGTCCCTTTTGCTCCGCAGGGGGACAGCCTGTGGCGCTGTGATGAGAATGTGCCCGCAAGCAGCCCGCCACAGTGTGTCTTTACCACGCTCTTCACACTGTCCCCTCTGACCAGAGTTTGATGTCACTGTCGAGTGTAACTTGTCTTTCTTCTCACCTTGTTTGTAAACGTAACTTTTAATTTTGAAATGGCTTCAGATTCATTGGAAGTCACAAAAAATAGTACACAGGGAATAATGAGCAAACTGTGTACTCTCCTATTTAGACTTAACAACAGAACACAGTGAAGAAAGGCCGGGTTCCTTCACATTGTTCTCCTCATGGCAGCATCCTGCCCACTGGTCTTGGCCGGCACACGGACATTCCTGCAATCCACAGACCTCATTCAGATCTCACCAGTTTAACGTTTTCACACCTGTGAATCACACGTGTGTACCAGTGCATATGCATCACACGCATGCACCTGTGCATGTATATCACATGTGTGCACCTGTGCGTATATATCACGTGTGCACCTGTGCGTGTATATCACACGTGTGCACCTGTGTGTATATCACATGTGTGCACCTGTGCATGTATATCACACGTGTGCACCTATGCGTATGTATCACACATGTGCACCTGTGTGTGCATCGCACGTGTGCGCCTGTGTATCACATGTGTGCACACGTGTATCCTGTGCATTTTGTCATGTGTGTGGGTTTGTGTGACCACCACCACAGTCAAGATCCAGAACCACTCCCGTCGCCATAAAACTCATAAATGTGGGTGTGTGTTGATCGTACACTGTATAGAATATTTGGGCTATGTCCTACTGATGTGTTTCGCGTGCTTGTGGACGAGGTCCTTGTCCTTCTGAGCCTGATTCCTGCCATCTTTGAGATGGGATGCGGCCTTTAGCTGGGTCAGTTTCCTGGGAATCTGAATCATGAATCATGAACAGAGAACGGGTGTTGTCAGGCCCATGAAGACAGGAGGAAGGACGGTGTACGGATCGCCTGCCGAGTTCCCTGTGCTGGTGTTCCTTCTCAGAGTGAGTACTAAGGAAGTGCAGAGCTCCCCTAGATTCAAACTGCCTTTAGAAGTGCGTTACAGTCTTTCCCTACAGCCATCTTTTTGTTCCGAAATGTCACGTTCACGGTTTTAGAAGGGCAGAGGATGGCATATGTTTTCTTGATTCCATCTGTTCTATAATTTGCAGTAAAAGGCATGTGTCAGAAAGAAAGTGTCACAAAATGGGCCAATGAGAGAGCGAGTCACAGCCGTGAGGGAAAAGGTGATTTAAGAAATTTCTTCTTCCTTCTGGAATTGATATTTTTAAAGGTTTCTGGAAAATCACTTTATTTAAAAAGAATTAGTTGCTGTGTTCCTTCCCTGACCCTGTGTGGGTAGTATGAGAACGAAGCGGTTGGCAGGGAGGGATCCTTCCTGGTATCGAAATGGGGAGGGAGACGGTCCCCTCGCCGTACCGGAGCGGGCCCAGGGGTCCTTCCCCGGCCCCTCCGAGGATGCCCAGCTGAGCTCTTCTGTTTTAGTAGACCTGCTGTGAAGGTCCGTGAGCTCTGACAGCAAACCTTTAGTAGCACGATGGAAGCTCTGGAATTGCGTCCGTCTGTGTGTCAGACAGTCCTACTGGGAGAGTTCCCAGTAGGTTGCGTCTGCAATTGTCGGCATACAAGGACCCAGATCTGAATCTTTCTGTGGGTTTAGGGGATCAAGGAAGGGAAGGGCCGGCTGGACCTCTGTCTTCCTCCATGCATCGTTTCTGGATTATTCTCTCATCTTCTGTTTTCAAATTAGTCTTGCTGCTCTTGGCGCCAAGGTCCAAGTGCTTGGTGGCCTGGGTCCCTGTGCGCTGACCCCCACCCTGGCCCCGAGGTCCATGCAGACCAGGGCTCTACGGGACAGGGAGGGTGTGCTCTGGTGCTGTGACCACAAGACTGTGGCCGGGGCCCTCTCCGCAGGCCAGGATCTGACACTTTCCTGAGAAAAATGTTTGGGAGCCACTGGTGCTTTTTTCTTTTTAAATTAGTAAACCTTTTTCAAGCAATTTTATATTTGCAGAAAAATGAACAGAAAATAGAAGGAACTCCCGTGTCCTTGCCCCACCTGGCCCCTGTGGTTAATATCCCACGGTGCTTTTGTTACAGTTGGTGAGCCGACGTGGCTCAAAGGCTGTGCACTCCGCTGGCTGGACAGAAGGTGGTGTCGGGGAGCCTTGCTTGCAGAGTCCCACAGGATGGCCTCATGGGATCGCCGGTGACTTGCCCCTCTCTCGTTCCTTATTAGTTTCTTAGTTAGCTTAACTAGAGGTTTAATCAATTTTATTGATTTCTGTTCTGATTCTGTTATTTCTTTTTTTCTGCTCACTTTGGATTTAATTTGATCTTTTTCTTCTAGATTCCTTACATTATTGAGGTTAGATTTCTTGAATGTGTGTGGTCGCTGCTATAGATTTCCCCATAAGCACTGCTTTTGCTGCATCCCACATGTTGTGATAAGTTTTATTTTCATTTTCATTTATGAAAAGAAATGAATTAAAAATATCTCTCAGTTTCTCTTGAGACTTTTTTTTTGGCCTGTTTGTTATTTAGAGGTATGCTGGTTAATCTCCAAATATTTGGGGATTATTAAGCTCTCTTTCTGCTCTTGACTTCCAGTTTCATTTCCGTTCTTCTGAGAGCAGACGCTGTGCGATTTGTGGCCCAGGATGGCCGTGCTGGTGCGCCCTCCAAGCAGAGACCTCTTTCTCTGCACCTGGATGGGGAGTTCACAGGCAGCAGCTGGAGCCAGGGGTCAGGGCGCTGCTCAGACTTCTCATCATTCACCTTAAATAAAAATGGGGAAAACTATCAAATCAGCATTTTTAATGCACCATCCTAAGACTTTTTTCTTCTTACAGAAGCAGGGACGCTTGGCTGAGTCTTGGCCCCAGCCTGGGCTCTGGGTGCCGCCCCTGGAGCCCCACCCTCCCCTACTGCCCTCAGCTCAGCATGTGGGGCCCGGGACTGTTGAGGTCAAAACAAGCCCAGGGTCAGATTCTTCGAGGGCAGAGTGGAGTTCAGCGGGTGTCAAATGCTGTGCAGAGGCCGAGCTGGAAAACCGGCATTTCCTGCCAGTCCTGCGGTAGAGGGTGTGGCCCCGTCCCCCCCCCCCCCCCCCGTGTCGGTGTTTGTGAGGGAACTGGTGTGTCACCCTCAGGGCACGCCCAAACCCTCCGTCTGCTGCACAGGGACAGATGGGAACTTCTGAACTGCAGCTTTGTGGGTTAACTTCTGGGGGCGGGGGCGTCCTTTCAGTGTCATGCAGTGTTTGTATTGTTTTGTGTTCCCTCCCAAATCTGCAGAATATGGTGGCCACAGGTCTTGGCTGACAGTATGTCCCCCTTGATTAGGAAGTGCTCGCCCCCAAGAGGAAGCGCAGCAGCTACAGGGTCTGCTGCCGCCCATGTGTTCGTCCTCTTCTGGGAAAAACAGGAAATGGACCATGGGTCGTCTGCGCCGGGGTTCCGTCTCAGCCCAGACACATTCTCTCACTTCTCAGAGCGCATCGAAAATAATGCAGTGATGTGTCCCTGAAGCGGCTGTGGCCAGTCTTAAAATTAAGCCAGGGAAGAGTTGGAGCCCAGCGCACCGGAGAATGCAGCTGAAGAACACAAACCTTACAGGAGCCCGTTCTGTGACAAGCCCTTACTCTGTTCTGTGATCTTGAGCTTTCGCCCTGCATTTGGCTTTTGTCTGAGGAGGGCGGGCTGTCTGTCGGCCCAAGCCTCGGCGTCCTCCCCATAGCAGGACAGCAGCGCCTGCCCCAGGCGATGCTTCGGGAAGCTCGGAGCCTGGCCTGGCTCAGTGAGAGGGAGCTGCAGGAGGCCAGCTGACTGGGGACGCTGCCGACAGCGTGGCTGTGTATTTGCCCCACCTGCAGAGCCGGCTAGTGCTGAGGCCCCCCTCTCTCGGGCTGGGCGGGCGCAAAGGGTGATGCTGCATCATGGATCCTGCTGTCGGTACCCCTGTCAGATGAGGGACCTTCCAAGGCAGAAGCTCCCTGGGCTCTGGGGGAAGGCCCGCTGGTTCCCTTGGGAAGCCACTGTTCCCAGCAAACGTGTCCCTCCATAAGCACCCCAGCCACGTGTGGCAGGAGCCACTCAGAGCCCTTGGCGGATACTGAGTCTGTGCTCTGGACGCTGGGTGTTGCCCAGGGTCGCCCAGCTGTGATGCTGGTCTGGTCCCACCATCCAGGACATATCGCTGCCCCCTCCCTGAGGCCACTGGTCCTGCAGGTGAGGGAAGGGCCAGGAAGGGCAGGGGCTGGCCTTGCCTGCAGCCGGAGAGGGGTAGGCTCCCCGGGCCCTCGGTGCCCATCTCCCCCATGTACGCCAGGTCTCCCATGTCAGAGTCGTGGGCAAGCCAGAGGACCTGGGAGGCTGGCCTCCAGCAGAGCGCTGTGCAGGGGTCCCAAGCCGCGGGAAGACCAGAGCAGTGGCCCCTGCGTTCAGAGGGGCGAACTCAGGAGGCCACTTGGGGTGCCGCTGAGTAGTCCTGCCCACACTCCCCCCGGTCCACCCATCTGTCTGTCCATCTGGGGCCCTGGATTCTTCTAGGGCAAGGCAGCCTTCAGAGGGCCCTCCCCAAGCTTCACAGTCTAGAAGTTTTAGTCGGAAAGGATCTTGGAGATGATCCAGTTTAGCCTTCTTTTCTAATTAAAAGACTTGTAATTTGGGGGCTCCTGGGTGGCTCAGTTGGTGGAGCATCTGACTCTTGATCTCAGCTCAGGTCTTGATCTTGGGGTTGTGAGTTCGAGCCCCACACCGGGCTCTGTGCTGGGCTGAGCCTACTTGAAGAAATGTTGATTTTCACGTTGTAGTGTGTTATATAAATTGTCAGTGTGTCACACCTGCGGCTGTTGGATATTTCTGAGGGAGCGGGCTCCTCTTCTTTGAAGCTCTGAGACCCTGGGGCAGAGTTGTCCAACCTGCGGAGGGCTCAGTGTCAGATGAAGGGGCACAGCCTGAAGCCAGCAAGCAAGGCCGTGGGGAGGCTGCTTCCTCCAGTACCTTTACTTGTGCTGTTGGACCTTTTTCTTCTGAAACAGCGGTCTGGGGGGGACATGCCCTCTCCTGGTCCCTGGGACCTGAGTGGGTCCGGGGGGGGGAACATGCCCTCTCCTGGTCCCTGGGACCTGAGTGGGTCTGGGGGAGTTGAGCCCTACCCTGGTCCCTGGGACCTGAGTGGGTCTGGGGGGCCATGCCCTCTCCTGGTCCCTGGGACCTGAGTGGGTCTGGGGGGGCCGTGCCCTCTCCTGGTCCCTGGGACGTGAGTGGGTCCGGGGGGGGGGCCATGCCCCCTCCTGGTCCCTGTGACCTGAGTGGGTCTGGGGGGGCCGTGCCCTCTCCTGGTCCCTGGGACCTGAGTGGGTCCGGGGGGGCCGTGCCCTATCCTGGTCCCTGGGACCTGAGTGGGGTGGGGGAAGCGCTGCGGATACCATGTGGGGTCAGGCAGCTTCATGTCTGTGAGTGGTGACGCTGGGAGCGCTCCCCTGCATGTGGCCATCCCCCATGACCCTCTGTCCTTGTGCCTTTCAGGGCAAAGTCCACCTGGAGCTGAGGCTGAGTGAGGTTATCACCGACACGGGCGTTGTCTGCCACAAGCTGGCCACGCGGTAAGACACGGACAGCTGGTCTTCTCCGGAGTAGTAACTCTGAGCCCAGGGGGTGAGACGTGTTGTTTTTCAAACATGAATCAGGATTCCCGGAATCGGTGATTCCCCACGATGATACTGTTCTAGAGGTTCTGGCACATTCTTCTTCATATCCTCATTAAAGCAGACGTTCATCCTGGTAGCTTTTGCAGATAGCCACGGTCAGGAAGACATTTAGACAGAGGTGCTATCTGGGCCCGGGCGATACATATGACGGCACTGTGTGGTGGTGTGTGCAAGGCCGGTCAGCAGACCTCGGGCCTGAGCTCAGACCGCCCACCCCGAATCCAGAGCTCCTTCTACCCTGTCATGCTTGGTGAGCATGAATGTCTGTGCACGTGTCTAAACATGTTCTCCATACCTTGTGGTGCGCTTTTGACATTTAGGGTCACGGATCCCATAGATCGTCTGGAGGAGGCTGAGGACTCTCAGATGCGAGCTCGCACACGTGTGCAGGGTCCTTGCCCTCTGACCCCTGCGCGGCCTCGGGGCACACACACCCTGTCGGGACCCCGTTCTCTTGCTGCCTGCCCCACGGGCCCCACGTGGGTCTTTACCAACAACACTTGCAGCTGTCTGGGACCCTCTGGGCAGCTGTCGGAGGTGCGTGCCGGTCCTTCCCTCTGCGGCCCACGTGTGTGAAGAATCCTGAGAAGAAGTGAAGGTGTGCAGAAACCGGTCCTCTGGCGTTAAGGGACCCGTGAGAGAGACCAGACGCTCCAGCTTTCTTCATCTTCGGAGAGTTGCTTTACCGAATTCATCTCTTAACCGTCTCTGGCCAGCAAGGGCTTCAGTGAGATTGGGTGATGCCCTTTTCTTGGGCTCAGACTCCAAGTTCTGCTTTAGGATTGTGCTCCCTCTGTCCTGTCACAGGGCCTGGGGGGGGGGGGGGGTTGTGTACACAAGGAGTTTTCACCATTGTCTGCCACCCCCAGAGGGCCCTGCCCTGCTGCCCACAGCGCTGTTTGAATTCACCATCTGTTGGCTGAAGATGGCCTCTGGTTGTTCAGGCTACGGGGCTGTCACTGTAGAACATGCAGGATGTATGTAGGAGCATGTATAGGATGTGGTGTATCGTGGGGTGCTGTGTAGGACGCAGGGATCTATGTCCTTCATTCCTTTAGTGCTCCCATTCTTCTTAAAATAGTTGCTGTGCTCTCAGACCCTGTAGCAGTGAGAAGAGAGTTGCCTGTTTTCTTGTTTATTTATAGGTTTATCCCTTGTTCCAAAACAACTTAAGGCTTTTTAAAAGCAGTCTTACATAGAATAAGGAGTGTGATTTAGCGGTGGGGAGACAGAATGGGCCAGGCTGGGCAGAGACCTGAGGCAGGTGAACGCAGGAGAGGGGTGCCAGGATCCCTGTCCTGAGAGCTGCCGTGTCCAGCCACACATCTGCATGACGGAGGGCAGATGTGGACCATTTGTCCAGGAGTAGTAGTGATCCTGATCGGAGGACCACAGATGTGGCGCCCAGAGCAAGAGACTGATAGAGCACAGCTACCCACCCTGCTGCGCCCCCGTCCGTGCCCCCCGTCCACGCCGTCCCCGCCCACCGTCCGCGCCGTCCCCGCCCACCATCCGCGCTGTCCCCCCGTCCCCGCCCACCCCGAGGCCCCGCTATCCACGCCGTCTATATTGTCCCCACCTGTCCCCACCGACCCCCAGAGTGCCTGCCAGCCATGGAAGCTCCTCAGACATTTTCCTGAGAAAGTCGTCTTAGTTAAAGCACCAGGGATTTGCTTGGTTCCTGCATCTGTTTCTTCCTAGTACATATGCTAGCACGCACGCTAGTACACACGCTAGAACGCACACTAGCACACTAATACGCTAATACACACGCTAGTACACTACCATGTACACTAGTACACACGCTAGCACGCATGCTAGTACACTACTCACGCTAGCACACAAGCACTCACTTATGCACACTAGTACACACTACTATGCACGCTAGTACACATGCTAGCACGCACACCAGCACACACTAATATGGACGCTAGTATGCACACTAGTACACGTGCTAGCACGCACTCTATGCACACTAGCACACACCCTAATACACAGCATGCACACTAGCACACTACTACACATGCTAATACACGTTAGTACACACTACTACGCACACTAGTACACATTAACACACATGCTAGTACACACTAGCACCCTCACTAGCACACTAGTGCACACATTAGTACACATGCTAGCATGCATGCTAGTACACACACTAGCACATATGCTAGTACACATGCTAGCACACACCCTAGTGTACATGCTAGCACACTAGCACACACTACTATGCACGCTAGTACACATACTAGCACACATTACTATGCACACTAGTATGCACGCTAGCACACGCTAGTACACATGTTGGCATGGACACTAGTACACTCACTGGCATGCACGCTAGTACATACACTAGTACACATACAAGTACACACACTAGCATACACATTAACACATGCTAACACGCGTGACTACAGCCTAATATACATACTAATATATACTCGTACATAACACTGATACACTAGCACACGTAGTCCACTTGGTAGTACAGACCAGCACATACTAGTACCTGTATACTAGCACACACGAACATGCCTAGTACACACTAGTACACATGCTAGTACACTTTAGTATACATGCCAGCACACA